TTTTTTTTTTTTTTTTTTTCTCTCTTTTTTCTTGATTCCGATCGAAAAGCAATATACGATTCTCTGCTTTAATTCGGTCCGAGTTTTCTTGAATTTGTACCATTTTGGCCCTCCTCGTCTTGGTTCTGCTCACCGGCTATTGTTGATAGCGACTTTTCAGTTTTCGATTTTGAGATTTTTTTTTTCGTTTTTGTTGATTTTCTATTTGGATTCTATTTAACACTCCGCTGTCGCGGTGATCTATTCTGTAATCAGGAAGCTTGTGATGATTTCTTCATCTTCTTTAGTGTGCATGATCTTATCACTCTGGATTTTTTTGCTGCTTCTAATTATTTTGCTTGGATGTGCAGGTTTTTTTCCGGCTCTCTGGTGCTTGGAAGTAATTTATGGCTTCAACAGTTCTGAATGTGCCGAATAGTGTTCGAAGAATTACCGGTTTGGATTGCGGTTCCTATGTCGGCCTAAGACATTCTCCAGATTCAAATTTCCTCTGCGTCCGGACCTCGGCCAATGTGCGTTCTCCGCGTCTTTTCGTTGTTAGAGCTAGCGATGGGGGGGATGCACCTATGAAGAAGCTAGGACGAAGTGATGCCGAATGTGAAGCCGCTGTCGTGGCTGGCAATGTGCCAGAAGCGCCTCCTGTGACGCCAAAACCAGCATCGCCTGCTGGAACTCCAGTGGTTCCTTTGCTGGTTAGTGTTAAAGATATAACTGGATTTTCAAATAAATTAAAACTAGAAGTAGACGAGGCAGGAGAAATTAGTTTTAGAGATAGGTAACATTATAAACTCGGTGAAATTTGCAAGTCATAGTTGTTTTTGAAATGATATTTGACATTCCAATCATGTTTTCCTTAACGGCACATGTATTAGTTTAATTAAAAAACTAATGGCTCTAGTTAACTTGTTTTTGGATTTTATAAGTGATGGAAATGTTGAAGTAAATGATTGACATAGTTTGCACACACTTCACTTTTATGGAAGTTTAAAGAATTTTGCAGTTGCCTCCAGTTTTTCAAGAATGAATATGTTTGTAATTTTGGAATTAGCTCCATTCTCCTCACTTGCAATGAATTTTCCATCAGCCTCTCAGCCGTCGTCCCCGCCGTAACCGGAGATCCCCAGCACTCAGAGCATCATTTCAGGAAACCAACCTATCACCTGCTAATTTTGTATATCCACTTTTCATTCATGAAGGTACGCACTATGCAACCATAATACCTTCATTCTTTTCTTATTTGCATACTCTATTATGGCATGGCGTTGTTTGCACGGACCTATATTAGTTTGTAGGTAATGCAGGCCTAAAAATTAGGAAATTTGCAGGTGAGGAGGACACACCGATTGGAGCTATGCCTGGATGTTATAGACTTGGATGGAGACATGGACTTTTGGAAGAGGTAACTTAGCCGTATCGACTCTACTTATCTCTGATCATAAAGGAGGTTGTTACCTTGTTGGAATTTTCACTTTGCACGTTGCTTAGGGGTTTGCCCATGTTTTTTCCGAGTCTTGGTTGCTTGGATAGTTTTGAGGTTTATATTTAGCGACAATATATGCTTTTCATATGGACTCTGGGGTTTTGTTTCAACCTTCTGGAAATATTCCTAGAATGAATTGACTTTGTCTAAGCAATACTTCAAAGAAAAGGGGAAAGTTTCCTTTTGGTACTTGAGGGTAAAAAGATTTGGATGAATCTTTCTTGCAGGTTTCAAAGGCTCGGGATGTTGGAGTCAATTCTGTCGTGCTATTCCCCAAAGTTCCAGATGCGTTGAAGGTTTTCACTCTTCATTCTTATTCCATTTGTGTGCTACTAAGAAGCATAAGATGATCGTTTTTTGCTTCAGAATCCAACAGGGGATGAAGCTTACAATGATGATGGTTTAGTGCCTCGAACAATTCGTTTGCTCAAGGACAAATACCCTGATCTTGTAAGTGAACTATATTCTGTTTGGTTATTCAAGCTATGGAATTATCATGGTTTCATGTGTGGAAATATCATAATCGTATATTGTACAAATCTGTCATTTTCAGGTTATCTACACTGATGTTGCTTTAGATCCGTACTCTTCTGATGGCCATGATGGTATAGTTAGAGAGGATGGTAAGAGCGACATACCTTCTCGTAGATGATGCTATACTCGTAGAAGCATTATATACAAACTTGATGGAAATATCTACGTTAAGAGTTGAGATAACTTGGCCAACTGCAAACGTTTAATGATATTAGAACTTCCATCTTTCCATACACTATCTCAATATGTAAAAAATATATAGATCTTTTGTAAATTATGGTTCTGCTTGCCGATCAAACATTTGAAAGTACATGATTTATGTATCTGTGCTGATGCATCCATGACTCTGTAAAGTTTCTCCAAATCTAATCTTTTTACAGAAGGAACTTGAATGTTAAAATAATCACGTGTGAAAATGCACCGACGTGCATGTGTTAGTGTATTTTATGTCTGAACTGCTTTGTGATGATATATAGGTAGATTTCTTTGCTGAGCTTTTTTCAAAATAAGATCTATTTTCTGATGTGTTATGACAACGGCTGTAATTTTTAGGGGGAAATATCTCTTTGGCAGCGGAAGCTGTTATTGGGACTCTTCTTCCAAATTCGATTTGTTAGAATTTCATGCCCAATATTCCAATGTCGATCAATGTTACATTTACCATTCATCAGCTCTAATTCAGAATTGACCTCTCAATGTAAGTAGGTATATACGGTTAAAGAGTTTATTTCAAATTTTGCAGGAGTTATAATGAATGATGAGACTGTACATCAATTATGCAAACAGGCTGTCTCCCAGGTAACTTTCTGAGATCGTTCTCTATGTAAATTCATCCCTCGAATGCTATAGCTTTATTGCTCATATATGAATTACTGAGTATTGAAATTAGACAAATATGCCCAATTATCTTTTAGAAACAACTTCTCAATGAGAGGAAATAAAAAATGTACTTCTGCTTAGGCTAACTACAGAGTACCACCAAAGGCATCGCAATGAGAGGAAAAAATATGAACTGTAAGGTCTTTCGTTGAGAATCACCTCAGGAATAAAAAATGTACTTCTGGCAATAAAGTCTTATAGCTACTAGAAGGGATTAAAGGTTTTGATGGAACTAATGTTGATAAGTTCAAACTACCCCTTGTCTTACAGAGGAAACCAAGAGACATGAACAATCCTCTTCAACTAAATTACGATTCACAATATTATCTGCAATAGGTGATTGATAAGAAATGATTGGTTCACTTCTTTGAGTATTGTGTAAGGGATAAGCAACAATGTAATACATTTTAACCTCTTTAACAGACAAGGACTTGAGGACTTGAGAGTATTAATGGATGCTTCAAAAGGGAACTCATGCATCTCGAAAAACACTAATCCCTTCCTTAGCAACTTCAAGCTCCCAATTCTTTGGAACTAAAGCTAGTGGATGATTAAAACGATGCAAATCCAGAGAATTAGAAAAGTTTTAAGGAGAGAGCTCCATCAGTAATATTTGGAGGATCTAAGGCAGTGTGTCATGAGTTCCAAGATTGGTGTATCACGTGATTGTAAATTTTTTGAGACGAGTGGATGTTGCCTTTGTTGAATGGGTTATTAAACACAGGCATGCAGGATTTACCTTACTAACTTCCCCCACACGTACACAACATCTTTCCTTATGTCCTATTACCGGAGATTTATTGGTTTCTTTTATGGCTTACTTCCTTCATCACTAGGCTCGTGCTGGAGCAGACGTTGTCAGTCCTAGTGATATGATGGATGGTCGCGTAGGAGCAATTAGAAGGGCTCTTGATGCTGAGGGATTTTATCATGTCTCCATCATGTCTTACACAGCAAAGTAATTTACTATCTTCTATTTTGCATTTCTCCCTTTTCTTGTTTTCTTTTCTAATCCACATGAATATGTAAATTTCATTCTAGCTTTGTTCTACTTAATTTGATTAGAATATATACACACTCGAGTTGCTGCCTGTTAAAATAAAAATGAAATGATGTTGAGAGGGTCAAAAGAATTACTAGATGATTCGATCATATTATTTTGCCTCTAATATGTTAAAAAATTGGAAATCTATTATAATGAGCTACATTTCGCCGATAGGATTCAGTTACCTAACAGAATCCTGAAGCTAAGTTAACGTTTCAATGAGATACCCGATGCCGAACTTTTTATCTCCATGTGGATCAACTACTTTAATATTGCTGAATCTTTTTCCAGTTCCTTGTCACTTAGAAGGGTGAAAATTGAACAATATGTCAAGCCAATACTTTAACCCAGTTTATATATGTCAAGCCAATTGGCATGAATATAGATTTTAATACTGCTGCCCCTACTGCTGCCGTCTCACTCTTTTTTGCTTTTTAACTTATGAACGCTCTATTTACTTCTGTTATCAATATCAATAATGTTTTTTCTGCTTCTTTTGAACAGGTATGCAAGTTCATTTTATGGTCCATTCCGTGAAGCACTGGATTCGAATCCTCGTTTTGGAGACAAAAAGACGTATGTAATATATTACAGTATCCCGAACTGAATTATTTATTTATTTATTATTATTATTTTTCTCTAGGTTCCTACTTAGCTAACTGATCTTGCTTGCTTAACAAAAGTTACCAGATGAATCCAGCAAATTATAGAGAGGCTTTGATTGAAACCCGTGAAGATGAAGCTGAAGGAGCTGATATTCTTCTGGTCAGTTGTCTTTTCTTGGACCCTTTGCAAAAGTTTACTTGGTGGTAGACTACAATTTGGCTAAACCTACTTCTAATCGATTACAGGTGAAACCTGGTCTACCCTATTTGGATATCATAAGACTTCTCAGGGATAGTTCTCCTTTACCTATTGCAGCATATCAGGTATTATTAAGTGTTTTTTTGTCAAATATTATCTATGATTTACCTATTTTTTTTATACGTCCTCACATGTAACAGTATTGGCATTAAATATCAAATAAGATTGCACGACTCTTACTTTGTTTCGTCTGTCAACAAAGTAATCAATTTAGTCCTTGTTCACGCATGGTATCAGCTTAGAATGCCTGCTAGGAAGTACTAAAGGATGTATTTAGCTAATTAGCTCACATAAATAAACGTCTTGCGGCTGATGCTGGTGACTAATGTCGCCATGAATTAATACTAGTAATTTGATATCCTTGAGTTGACTTTTTCATGGAAACATTGGTCAAGAAAATGGGAGATTCTCAACGTAGTTTTACTCTGTATATGTAATCCTTTCAAACAATTTTTCATCGTTTTGGTTAGGTTTCGGGTGAATACTCGATGATCAAGGCTGGAGGGGTTCTCAAAATGATCGATGAAGAAAAGGTCATGATGGAGTCCCTCATGTGTCTCCGACGGGCCGGAGCAGACATAATCCTCACATATTTTGCTCTACAGGCGGCTAGATGTTTGTGCGGTGAGAAGAGGTGAAACTTGTTAACCATGTGCTGTTCTAGAGGATGTTAAGTCGTCAAAACTTCAAATCCGAGTGAGTTCTCTTGTTCGTAATAAAATCTGTAACATAGTTAGAAAATTCTGTTTCGTAATTTAATTCAATGCCCAGTTTGCCAATATATTAGTTTTGGAGGCCGTTGATGATATGGAATGAATCGGGCGGGACGTTCTATCTCGTATCTCCGTAGTTCGATTTTGATTATTAGTTTAGAGGTAAAGACCAAACCATATTTTACCAACTTCACACAAACCTTGGATTCCTGAGTCATTCACAGATCAACACTCTTATCTTCATCAATGCAATTGCTTGTAGAGAAGTTCGATTTAGGTCGTTTAAGGTTACACGTTATAATACCATCTACCAGACGTAATGCATGTAAAAAAATCATACAAAAATGAATCATGTGGCTGTAGCTGTGACGTCCCGAATCATATACAACAGGAAGGGGGCACAACGAACTTTCCCTTCTCAACGTATCGGCCCCAGGTACTTGCTGTGGCAAGCACACCTTCGGCAATACGACATTTTGAAGCGGAAGAGTGGTAGAAACTGCCTTCTCTAACTTGTTGCTGCTTCTCATTCTCCATGCTCGTACAGATACCTCTCGGCGATGGTTGCATGAGTGGCAGCGCCAATGGGTAGCATGTCTTCGTCGATCATGAAATAGGGAGAGTGGCCTGTGTGGATGGAGCCTAAGGTCTCGTTCCTCACTCCTATGTAATAGTATGCTGTAGGAACAAACTCCGAGTAAAAGGAAAAATCTTCGGCCCCCATCATTGGTGGGACCACCCTGTAATTGTGTGAACCATGTAGGTCGGTGGCCACTTTCTTCACATGCTCATACATCTTTTCGTCGTTCATGGTTGGAGGGTATATGGTGTATTCTTTTTCAAAGAAATCCACCGTTGTCGAGCATCTATAAACTCTGGCCTGCTCCACAATTACCTGTAGTGCAGATCGTTTATGAGCAAAATTTAAACTTTAGTTAATTTTGGTACTGGATAACGAAGCATTTTTTATAGGGGTATAAAAATCTCGTCCTAGTAGACGTGTTTTAAAAATTTTGAGAGGAAGCTGTAAAGAAAATTCAAAGTGGATAATATCGGTGGATAATACCATTTGGGCTATTACAAATGGTATCAGAGCCAGACATCGAGCGGTGTGCTAACTAGGACATTGAGTCGAAGGGGGGTGGACACCAGGTGGTGTGCCAACGAGGACACTGAATCTCGAAGGGTGGTGGATTGTGAGATCTCACATCAATTGAAGATGCTGGACCCTAAAGAGGGTGAATTGTGAAATCTCATATCGATTGGAGAGGAGAACGAAACATTTTTTATAACGGTGTTGAAACCTCTCCCTAGTAGAGGGCATTTTAAAAATTAAGAAGAAGCTCGAAGAAAACCATATATGATAATAATGAGCTTAGACTATTTAGACTATTATACCATAAGAAGTTTAGGCTGCACTTTTAGAAGTGCTTTTGGAAATGCACTAATTTATCTCCTCAAAGCAATTTTTTGTTTTAGAATTTCCAAAATCATTTGGATCAATAATCTAATCTAAAGCAACCATACATTGAATTTTTTTTTTCAAGAAGTGCTCAATGGGCTGAAGTCATTCCTAATTCATTCTTGGGATTTCAGTTTTTTTAAGAACTTTTCAGAATTTTCCCCATCAAACCTCTGAAAAAAAAAAAACTTTGAAAAAAGCATTTAGTTAACAAAGATAATTCTTTAATCTTTTAAGAAGCATGTAAGGTGAGTTTGAAGCTGAAAAATGAAACGGTGGGGCTTGAAAGTGAAGGGAGAAATTACCTCCTCTATTCTTTGAAGAAGTTGGTAGAAGCTAGAGTTGGAGAAAGCCCTGAAAGTACCGCCAATGACGACAGTGTCTGGTATCACATCCAGCTTACTCCCTCCATTGAACCAAGTCACTGACACAACCTGAGTCCAAAAACAAAAATCATAAGGGCAACGAATTGATAATTCAGTATTGAATAAGTCCCTAAATCACAAACAACCCCCCCCCCCCCCCCCC